TACTCCCTCCCGTGCAGTGTGGGAGGCTGCGAAATCACTGAAAAAAAAACTTCAATGCTACACGCATGCAAAGTAAGGTACTTTTTCACCCTATTTTGCACGTTTTCAACGCGAAATTAACACACGCTTTATGAACTATCTATAGTCAACACTACAGTTACAAAAGAGCTTAACAAGATGGCTCGAAGTCGCTTCTCCTTAGCAGACTTTTCACTCATTTCTGGCATTCCCAGGAACGCGTAGCAAGGGGAAACTCATTTTTGTGATCTTTGCATGAACCTCTGTAACATTCAGCAGATCATTTCCGAGAAATGCCCCATGACCTCAACAATCCTCCTTGTGAACGTAATGGTTGCAGACTAGAATCTTAATGGTTGCAGACTAGAATCTTTCTGGTGAAGGTAGAGGAATGGCTCAATAGAGCAACATCAATGAATACACGCAAACGTCGGACAGGAGAGCAGCTACTATGGCTGGTAAAGCCACTTATTATTCAGTCATAATGTTGTGAAGCCAGCAACAGTGTAGAATCGGTCATAGCTTCTTCCGCGCTGCAATTCAGAGAGTGAATGCCTTGAAGAAATAGGGATTTATTATTAGAAAATCACCTAGTCATAACAGAAGTGGGAAAGATTCCATCGCTGCTTGCTTCGCTTTTTTGACTCGGACTCGCAGGGCCTTCTGTTGACCGAATACTCTCGAGCGAGATGATATCGCACGTTTTTCGACTGCCTTGAAATTTCTTCTGGCGAGCTCGTGAGTTCTGTAAGGAGTAACCATTATTCTCATCCGGATGCCTTCCGTGCGCAGATTTACCTGGAACCAAACCTGGGTTACCCGTTTGCTCAGCCCCGTGATACTTGCTATCCTTTCCAAATCAGCTCCATCTGGATTGCTGTCAACTTGAAAGTGAGCCTAAAAAGTTAGTTGTTGATTGCAGAACATGTAAATCATGAGCCTGCACTATTCGTAAGGTAGATTGCAGATCTACGGCACGAAAATTCAAATTACTCTATTTTCTGAAGTATAAGGTGCACCTTTGCTGCAAACGCCGTGAATATTTCTTCCTCACTTTATTTTTATGTGTTTTTTGTTTGTTCATATCATTACTGATGATTTATATTCTGTAAGAAGTGTTTGAAAACTAATCGGGAGTTCTTACTGTGCAGAAAAGGCAGGCAAATTGTTGCTATGCTTACCGACGCATCGCGCGCCTTTCCGCTTGCGTCTGCAAAATGCGTCTCATGCCCCAAAAAAAGAGACTCCTTCTTCTCAATAGAGAGGTCTAAAAATGATCTCCTCATAGCAGTCATTGCTGGAAACACATCTGCTGAAGCCCTGAGCTTATCGAATCCTCCCTTCAAACGCGTCTTTGCGCACCTTTGCTTTGTTATCTGTGAAATGTCCCCGAATGCTTCATGCAGATACATCAATACAGGTCCTCATCCGTGGGAAGACGACGGATTTGTCCCACACAGATCCGTTGGAAACTGCTTCATTGTCATACATTCGACTGAAGTGCATGGAATAGAAAGAAGTGAGAGCATCAGGTTGTTTGTGCAGGGCGAATTCAAAGGTGTATGGGATGCAGAAGTATGATGAACGGATACATCCTTGAGAACTGGCGAGAATTTCATTTTATGACACTTGTCTTTCTATTTCTTCGAGAAGGTTCGAAAGTGAAGAATTTCTGAAAATACTCATGTGGAATCATTAGTATTCGAACTAGTGGGAACTAAATTTAACTGCGATTTCATCGTGAGAGACGTTGGGAGAAGATTTCGAGCGGTGAGAGATATACCTATCCTGGCGATAATTTCAAGAAATTAGGCAATGTCTTCTTCTGGGTGGGTGGAATGAAACTCTTCTAAGTCTTTTATTTCTCGGCGACGTTTCGGGCCTTAAGCCCTTCTTCAGGCTACAAATATCATATATCTACAAAGCCTACACCAACAATCCTACTATTATACATACATCGCAAGATATTCGAAGAGGGAAAGCAATCAATTAAATAATTAACAACTGACCGACTTCCTACACAGGGGTAGGGCCTGGGTTGGAGGGGTCCGGGATATAGTGGGTCGGGAGGTCGCTGTAAGATGTGAATGATGGGCGGAAACAAGGAGTACGCGAAATTGACCTACCTCCCTAGCTGTCCTTTCCTATAGAAATGAGACAGCTAGAAAGGCGAAGCAGTGGCAAGATGGTGATACACTGCTATTTGTCATATGTCACGTATCACCAGTGATGTCACATCACGGTGCAGCAATGAGCTCCATTGTCCTTCTTAACTCCTCCCTGTTGTTGATCGGTGGATTCCTTCTTCGAATTTCCAACGCCTCCTTTATTTTCCTCACCGGGTCACATATGCTCCTGTGGATTACGCGCACCCTGAGTTCAGGGGCAAGTTCGTTCGTGTGGCGCGAGGAAGTGTCTCGAGAAGGGATCATCCGGATAGCTGGCTGGGTTCCGGAAAGCCCTTAGAGGTTCATCATGTGAAGTACACGCGTCACTGTATCCATCAGTGATGGATACAGTAACGCGTGTACTTCAAGAAAACGGCTATGGAAGCAGACGCGTAAATTGCTGGCGCCCATATCAGGCACCAGGAGGCGTCCCACTCATAATTCCTTACCTCTCAGACTCTTTTGCAAAGGATGTAAATCGTGTTATAAAGAGGTCGGGGATGCCAATCCGCCTGATATTTCGACCACCGCCAACACTACGTCGTCTCCTCACGTCGTCACGTATATACGAAGACCGATGTGGCCGCGAAAACTGTGAATACTGCCAGGAGGAACGAAAGATCTGCCTCTTAATGAATACCGTGTACGAAGTGGAGTGTGCGTCATGTTCGGAATTCTACATTGGCGAAACTGGACGACCACTCTACAAAAGGCTTGATGAACATCTAAGGGCTTTCCGGAACCCAGCCAGCTATCCGGATAATCCCTTCTCGAGACACCGTTCCTCGCGGCACACGAACGAACGTGCCCCTGAACTCAGGGTGCGCGTAATCCACAGGAGCATATGTGACCCGGTGAGGAAAATAAAGGAGGCGTTGGAAATTCGAAGAAGGAATCACCGATCAACAACAGGGAGGAGTTAGGAAGGACAATGGAGCTCATTGCTGCACCGTGATGTGACATCACTGGTGATACGTGACATATGACAAATAGCAGTGTATCACCATCTTGCCACTGCTTTATCTTTCTAGCTGTCCCATTTCTATAGGAAAGGAAGCTAGGGAGGTAGGTCAATGTCGCGTACTCCTTGTTTCCGCCCATCATTCACCCCGCCCGCCCCGGCCCCCCAGGCCACCACCGCCCCACACGCCCAAACCGCCAGCCCGCCCCCCGCCACAAGCCACCCCGCCCCCCACCCCACACGGCCCCCCAACCCCCCAACCCCCCCCCCCCCGGGGCAACCACTCACCACCCACCCAGCACCACTCAGGGCCAAACACCCCACCGTCAACCCAACCCCACAACCCCCCCGCCGCGGCGAGCACGCCACACAGCCACCCCTACACAACGTCGACGCACCCCAAAAACACAGGCAACCCACTCTATGCGGCAAACTCCGACCCACTCCATCCTGGACCCACTCCAACCCAGGTCCGACTCCGGAAGTAGGTCAGTTCTTAATTAATTAATTAATTGTTTTCCCTCTTCGAATATCTCGCGATGTGTTTTATAATAGTAGCGGATGTGGTGTATGGCTTTTTGAAGTAATGTTATATTTGCTGACGTGAAGAAGGGTTTAAGGGCCGAAACGTCGCCGGAAATAAATAAGACTTAAAAGATGTTTCGTTCCACAACCGGAAAAAGATTTCACAATAGTAATTTAAAACTCTAGTAATCTTTGATATTACAAATTACGGAATGGTTTATATCCTGTGCGTACACGGTGGATTGAATGTGAAATGGCCGTTGTAATCTTTTCCAGAATCTTTGAACTCTAAAGCTGTCATTCACGGTTGTATATTATTATTTTTCACTTGATGTGGCCCCATTCTTTTTTCCTTTTTTTTTTTCTTTTTTTCTGAAAAGAAAAGGCTTTCATGGGGTACGCTGAAAAATTATAATCGAGATTTAAGTCTTTTCTTTTTCGTCTGTCTCGCCAGTGGTCGTACCACAGAAGAGCACACCGTGAGTTTGGGAGCCCTGTTTGAAAAAGTCCATGAATTTGGGCTCATAATCCTTATCGAGCACTGCAGTTTCCTTATGTCCAAATTCGCTATGTGGTCAATGTACTCGGTGCAAATGGTCACGATCGTGAAGTTGTCAAGACAGAAGTTATCAAAAGGGTGTGGGTCTCCAGGATAACGAAAAGTCGATCGTTCCTTCGGAATGATTAATATTCACGACTTCTGTTTCGAGGATATCGCCGCTTCGTGCACTGTTGCAGGTGTTGTTAAAATTTCGTGGGAACGACCTTCCATTCACGCTATTCATCGGACATGTGCGCGCAGCCTTCAGACCGCGTGAAGATGTCATGCCGTGAGATTGCTGTCACTTGTCCGATACATCCAAAGAATAATCGTTGCGGTTGATGCTATCGAGTGGCTGTCACTCAAAATTACTCATTCCACCTTGAAAGGAGTTCGGAGATTTCTTGTAGACTGAACTACAGGTATCCTTTCCTTTGATTTGATTTTCGAGTTGATCCGAAATTCCTGGCGCTCCAATACTCAATTGTGAAGTTGTAGTTGAGCATCATGACGGTGAATGCTCCTTTTCCCGTAGATGGCTAGAAAAGCGGCTCCGCCAAGAGCTCGAAAGAGGGTTTCCGCACTGCGAGGACAAGAGCCTGTCCTTCTTTCTCTTTCCCCATAGCTCTTCTCGGTAGCTGTAAGGGTACGGCAAGTGTGATTGAGTGGCTGTCCCGTTCAATCCGAGAAGCGAAGTAATGCGAGTAATTTGAGTGACACCACGCTCGGAAGCATCGACCGCAGCGATTATTCTCTTGGAGGTATCGTGACAAGTGAGCAGCAGATCTCACGGCATGACATCTTCGGCGCGGTCGAAGGCTCGCCAACAGTCCGATGAATAGTTGAATGGGATGTCGTTCCCGAATATTTTAACAACACTGCACAGTGCACGAAGTCGGCGGATATCCTCGAAAAAGGTTCTGTAATATTAATTCATTCCGGGAACGATCGTACTTGTTCGTTATCCTTGGGAGACCACACCCTTTTGATAACTTCTGTCTTGACAACTTCACGATCGTGACCATTTGCACCGAGTACATTGACCACATAGCGAATTTGGACATAAGGAAACTGCAGTGCTCGATAAGGATTATGAGCCCAAATTCATGGACTTTTTCAAACAGGGCTCCCAAACTCACGGTGTGCTCTTCTGTGGTACGACCACTAGCGATGACGTCGAAAAAGAAAGACTGAAATCTCGATATAATTTTCAGGTACCCATGAAAGACTCTTTCTTTTCAGAAAAGAAAAGGAAGAATGGGGCCTCAAAGTGAAAAATTATTAATATGAAGCAACCGGTGGGAATGAGAGCTTTAGAGGTTCAAAGATTCTGGAAGATTACAACGGCATTTACATTCAATCATGTACGCACAGGATAAACCATTGCCTAATTTGTAATATCAAAGGATTCCTGAGTTTTATTATATTGTGAATCTTTTTCTGGGTTGATGGAATGAAACTCTTCTAAGTCTTTTATTTCTCGGCGACGTTTCGGGCCTTAAGCCCTTCTTCAGGCTACAAATATATATGTACAAAGCCTGCACCAACAATCCTACTATTACACATACATCGCAAGATATTCGAAGAGGGAAAGCAATTAATTAATTAATTAACAACTGACCTACTTCCGGGTCGGCCTGGGTTGGAGTGGGTCCGGGATGGAGTGGGTCGGGAGTTTGCTGCAAGATGGTTGAATGATGGACGAGAACAAGGAGTACGCGACATTGACTCACCTCCCCAGCTGTCCTTTCCTATAGAAATGAGACAGCCAGAAAGCGAAGCAGTGGCAAGATGGTGATACACTGCTATTTGTCATATGTCACGTATCACCAGTGATGTCACATCACGGTGCAGCAATGAGCTCCATTGTCCTTCTTAACTCCTCCCTGTTGTTGATCGGTGGGATTCCTTCTTCGAATTTCCAACGCCTCCTTTATTTTCCTCACCGGGTCACATATGTTCCTGTGGATTACGCGCACCCTGAGTTCAGGGGCACGTTCGTTCGTGTGGCGCGAGGAACGATGTCTCGAGAAGGGATTATCCGGATAGCTGGCTGGGTTCCGGAAAGCCCTTAGATGTTCATCAGCCTTTTGTAGAGTGGTCGTCCAGTTTCGCCGATGTAGAATTCCGAACATGACGCACACTCCACTTCGTACACGGTGTTCATTAAAGGCAGATCTTTCGTTCCTCCTGGCAGTATTCACAGTTTTCGCGGCCACATCGGTCTTCGTATATTCGTGACGACGTGAGGAGACGACGTAGTGTTGGCGGTGGTCGAAATATCAGGCGGATTGGCATCCCCGACCTCTTTATAACACGATTTACATCCTTTGCAAAAGACTCTGAGAGGTAAGGAATTATGAGTGGGACGCCTCCTGGTGCCTGATATGGGCGCCAGCAATTTACGCGTCTGCTTCCATAGCCGTTTTCTTGAAGTACACGCGTCACTGTATCCATCACTGATGGATACAGTGACGCGTGTACTTCACATGATGAACCTCTAAGGGCTTTCCGGAACCCAGCCAGCTATCCGGATAATCCCTTCTCGAGACACCGTTCCTCGCGCCACACGAACGAACGTGCCCCTGAACTCAGGGTGCGCGTAATCCACAGGAACATATGTGACCCGGTGAGGAAAATAAAGGAGGCGTTGGAAATTCGAAGAAGGAACCCACCGATCAACAACAGGGAGGAGTTAAGAAGGACAATGGAGCTCATTGCTGCACCATGATGTGACATCACTGGTGATACGTGACATATGACAAATAGCAGTGTATCACCATCTTGCCACTGCTTCGCCTTTCTAGCTGTCTCATTTCTATAGGAAAGGACAGCTGGGGAGGTGAGTCAATGTCGCGTACTCCTTGTTCTCGCCCATCATTCAACCATCTTGCAGCAAACTCCCGACCCACTCCATCCCGGACCCACTCCAACCCAGGCCCTACCCCTGTAGGAAGTCGGTCAGTTGTTAAATTAATTGATTGCTTTCCCTCTTCGAATATCTTGCGATGTATGTGTAATAGTAGGATTGTTGGTGCAGGCTTTGTACATATATATTTGTAGCCTGAAGAAGGGCTTAAGGCCCGAAACGTCGCCGAGAAATAAAAGACTTAGAAGAGTTTCATTCCATCAACCCAGAAGAAGACATTGCCTAATTTCTTGAAATTATCGCCAGGATAGGTATATCTCTCACCGCTCGAAATCTTCTCCCAACGTCTCTCACGATGAAATCGCAGTTAAATTTAGTTCCCACTAGTTCGAATACTAATGATTCCACATGAGTATTTTCAGAAATTCTTCACTTTCGAACCTTCTCGAAGAAATAGAAAGACAAGTGTCATAAAATGAAATTCTCGCCAGTTCTCAAGGATGTATCCGTTCATCATACTTCTGCATCCCATACACCTTTGAATTCGCCCTGCACAAACAACCTGATGCTCTCACTTCTTTCTATTCCATGCACTTCAGTCGAATGTATGACAATGAAGCAGTTTCCAACGGATCTGTGTGGGACAAATCCGTCGTCTTCCCACGGATGAGGACCTGTATTGATGTATCTGCATGAAGCATTCGGGGACATTTCACAGATAACAAAGCAAAGGTGCGCAAAGACGCGTTTGAAGGGAGGATTCGATAAGCTCAGGGCTTCAGCAGATGTGTTTCCAGCAATGACTGCTATGAGGAGATCATTTTTAGACCTCTCTATTGAGAAGAAGGAGTCTCTTTTTTTGGGGCATGAGACGCATTTTGCAGACGCAAGCGGAAAGGCGCGCGATGCGTCGGTAAGCATAGCAACAATTTGCCTGCCTTTTCTGCACAGTAAGAACTCCCGATTAGTTTTCAAACACTTCTTACAGAATATAAATCATCAGTAATGATATGAACAAACAAAAAACACATAAAAATAAAGTGAGGAAGAAATATTCACGGCGTTTGCAGCAAAGGTGCACCTTATACTTCAGAAAATAGAGTAATTTGAATTTTCGTGCCGTAGATCTGCAATCTACCTTACGAATAGTGCAGGCTCATGATTTACATGTTCTGCAATCAACAACTAACTTTTTAGGCTCACTTTCAAGTTGACAGCAATCCAGATGGAGCTGATTTGGAAAGGATAGCAAGTATCACGGGGCTGAGCAAACGGGTAACCCAGGTTTGGTTCCAGGTAAATCTGCGCACGGAAGGCATCCGGATGAGAATAATGGTTACTCCTTACAGAACTCACGAGCTCGCCAGAAGAAATTTCAAGGCAGTCGAAAAACGTGCGATATCATCTCGCTCGAGAGTATTCGGTCAACAGAAGGCCCTGCGAGTCCGAGTCAAAAAAGCGAAGCAAGCAGCGATGGAATCTTTCCCACTTCTGTTATGACTAGGTGATTTTCTAATAATAAATCCCTATTTCTTCAAGGCATTCACTCTCTGAATTGCAGCGCGGAAGAAGCTATGACCGATTCTACACTGTTGCTGGCTTCACAACATTATGACTGAATAATAAGTGGCTTTACCAGCCATAGTAGCTGCTCTCCTGTCCGACGTTTGCGTGTATTCATTGATGTTGCTCTATTGAGCCATTCCTCTACCTTCACCAGAAAGATTCTAGTCTGCAACCATTAAGATTCTAGTCTGCAACCATTACGTTCACAAGGAGGATTGTTGAGGTCATGGGGCATTTCTCGGAAATGATCTGCTGAATGTTACAGAGGTTCATGCAAAGATCACAAAAATGAGTTTCCCCTTGCTACGCGTTCCTGGGAATGCCAGAAATGAGTGAAAAGTCTGCTAAGGAGAAGCGACTTCGAGCCATCTTGTTAAGCTCTTTTGTAACTGTAGTGTTGACTATAGATAGTTCATAAAGCGTGTGTTAATTTCGCGTTGAAAACGTGCAAAATAGGGTGAAAAAGTACCTTACTTTGCATGCGTGTAGCATTGAAGTTTTTTTTCAGTGATTTCGCAGCCTCCCACACTGCACGGGAGGGAGTATTTAGCGCCATACTCGCGCAAGATGGCCTCTGCGCTAAATATAAGGGGTACAACCATGATCGGGACCATAGGTTACCCCTACATTCGAGGTTTCACTTTCATGAAAGTTTTTCCTTGAGCTTTTTGGCGTATGCTGATAGACCACGTTGAACTGGTGGCTATCACTATCCTATAGAAATGCTTATCCAGCTTCGTTACCTGGAATTTTTATTTGCTAGTATACACACGCAGGCATGATTGACAATTGTGAACTCCAAAAAAAGGGAAGAACAAATATACTGCACCCCATACATGTTTAAAGAGAAACAAGTTTCGCTGCAAACGTTGCGGCAGGAGGCAATCAGTTCTTTGATGAAGGCCTGGACAATAGGAGTCGATGGAGGTCCAGGATGCTCGCTTACGCCTGTTAGCCAAAATGACGTTTTTTGATGACGTAGTGATTTCGGTGGCTGGTCTTGCCAGTGACCTATACGATTACGGAGATGTAAGTTTGGATGTCACTGCACACCAAATGGTCACCCTGTCGTCACTGGAATGTCTCCAGAAAAAAATTCTGGCTGAAACTTCTGTAAGGGTACCTGACTGCCCCGATTACACTTCTAACACTTAATTTTGCGCCCAGGCCAATTCGCGGCAGCATGGCACTAAACAGCCCATGCGCGTGGATTGTCAACGACTCCAGTGCAGGAAATGTTCTGAATCGAAACCATGGTTCAGAAGTGCCATAGTCAAAAACGAGTGCCGTGCTCGTGGTCAGAGCATCACCTTATAGCCTACGCTTCAGCAAGAGGGCCTCCAATAGTGTTTTGAGAGCGTAATAGCTGAAGGCAGGTTCGTGAGGTATCATTGTCTAGAATGAGCCCTTAAAAGTCCTCATCTTCTTCTTCTTCTTCTCCCTAGCGTTAGTCCCGCGCCGTCGCAGGGTCCGCTGTTCTTGTTAGACGTCGCCACTTGTTCCGATCCACTGCATCTTCTGCCGTGGCTTTCAGGGAAGACCTTCTTGATGACGTCCCTCCATCTTGGGGCACCTCGTGGTCGCTTGCAATCTGCTTCTGAATTCCAATGCCTTCCTTATGGTCTTCAGGCCTTCTCAGCACGTGCCCATACCATCGCAGTCGCTGCTCTCGTGCCTTCAGCTGGATCGGAGCGGTCTGTGTGACCGCCCTGACGTCCTCGTTTCTGACTCTGTCGTGTCCAGCCGCAGGCCCATCTCAGCATCCTCATTTCAGCTGAGTGGAGCTGCCTTTCATGGTTCTTGCAGATGGGCCAGCACTCACTGCCGTAGAGCATTGTAGGCCTTACCACCGCCCGGTACACCTTGCCCTTGAGCGTTCTCGAGCACCGCCGGTCGCACAGGATGCCAGTGGACTCCCTCCATTTCATCCAGGCTGCGTTGATTCGGGCTTCACCGCCTGGTCCACGCTGCCATCAGCTGCTAGGTCGCTCCCCAGGTACTGGAAGTCCTCGACCCTTTCGATGCTCTCGCCATGGCAGTCTACGATGGGTTCGCACTCTTCGGAGCTCAGGAACTTGGTCTTCTTCACGTTCAGCCGGAGTCCATTCTCAGCGAGCACATCCTGCCACCGCTGCACCTTGTCCTGGAGTTCTTCCCTGCTGTCCGCTATCAGGGCGATGTCGTCAGCGTAGAGGATGGTCAGTGGTCCCTCCATGAGTTCTTTTGCCATGACATCTAGAGTCAGGAGGAAGAGGAACGGGCTGAGGGCTGATCCTTGGTGTACCCCAACCGTGATGTTTACCTCCTTTCGTCAAGCCGTGCGTACAGCTGCTTTAGCCCCATCGTACATGTCCTTCACTATGGAGATGAGGTGTTCCGGAACGTTACGTTCTCTGAGCGCTCTCCAGAGTACAGGCCTTGGCAGGCGGTCGAATGCCTTCTCAAGGTCCAGGAAGGCTAGGTAGCAGGGTCGCCGCTTCTCTCGGTACTTCTCCATCAGCTGTCTGGCGATGAAGATGGCATCAGGTGGACCTTTCGGGCATGAAGCCGAACTGTTCCTGCGAGATAGGGACAAGTTCCCTCAGCCTAGTGTTGACCAGGCGCTCGTACAGCTTCATGGTATGGGGAGTCAACTTGATGCCGCGGTAGTTGGAGCACTCCGTCGCGTCCCCTTTCTGTTGAAGATGGGGACGATTGTGCTGCTCCTCCACGCATCTGGCATCCTTCCTTCAGCCGTTACATTGTTTAGGAAGTCTGTTAGCCAACTCACCCCAAGCTCTCCCAGGGCCTTATGCCTCTATCGGTACCCCGTCTGGACCCACTGCTTTCCCAGCTTTCATTCTTCCTAGCTCACAGCTTTTCCAACTTTCATTCTCCCTAGCGGACTTCATCCTTCGTCCAGGGAGTGATGGGACCTGCCGTCGCCTCTATCTGTGGGCTATCCTTGCGAGGGAATTCTTCGTTCAGAAGTCCCTCGAAGTATTCTTCCCACCTCTTCCTGACTTCGGCTGGTTTCCTGAGAATGGCCCCGTTGCTGCTCTTCACAGTCTTTACGACCCTGATGTCCTGAGCAGCGCGATGCCGAGCTTTAGCCAGGCGGAAGACGAACTTGTCCCCTTCTCGGCCTTCCAGCTTGTCGTACAGGGCGTCCATTTCCGTATTCTTGGCCTTAGCAACGGCTGCCTTAGCGAGTCGCTTGCAGCTCTTGTAGGCAGCGAAGTCTTCTGGGCTCCTTGTCTTTTGCCAGCGTTTATATGCTTCCTTCTTCTGCTTGACGATCCCTGGACTTCCTCGTTCCAGAACCAGGCTGCCTTGTCTCCTCTGATACCACCTCGCGTCTCTCCCAGGACTTCCTTTGCACACTGTAGGATGACCTCTGACTGCGTGGGTCCAGGTGTCCTGGACTGGCCCATGTGGGTCTGGGAGCCCAGCCTCCAGTATTCTTCGGCCGAGGCTATCCTTTTCTACCTTGCGCATTTTCCACCACCGAATTCTTCGCTCTGCTCTCACCCTTGTCTTCTTGGGGAGGTCTATGGCGATGTCTGCCAGGAGAGGCCTGTGCTGAGGGCCCAGCTCTTCCCCAGGCAGTACCTTGATATCCTTGACGGTTTTGAGAGACGATCTTCTGACCAGGACATGGTCGATTTCCGTTTGTCTCCCTCCACTGCTGTAGGTTATCTTCTGAGTCCTCCTTTTCGCGAAGAAGGTGCTACAGATTGCTAAGTCGTGGGCTGTGGCTAGGTCAAGGATCCGTTCTCCCTCAGCGTTCTTTGCCCCTATTCCTTGGCCTCCGTGCACCCTTTCTAGACCCCTTCTGTCATTTCCCACATGGCCATTCAGATCCCCAGCTATGGTGAGGTAGTCATCTTCCGGAACCGATCTTATGGCCTCGTCCAGGGTCAGGTAGAACTGATTCTGTTCACACTGTAGACGCAGTCCTTGAGGGATTCTGCCACCGCTATGGCCACGCCATTCCGTTTGGTGTCTGCTCCATTGTAGAAGAGTTTGACACCTTCTCCAATCTCGCGGGCCTTCGCACCCTTCCATCGCGTTTCCTGAAGGCATAGGACTTGGATATTCCTCCGTCTCATGAGGTCGGCAACCTCACGAGACTAAGCGACCCCACGTTCAGGGTCCCAATTCGAACTAGCTTCTTTGGCCGAGGTCGTTCACCCCCTCGCATACTGACCACAGAACTCGGGCGAGGGTTCTGCGCGCCACTTCCGGGTGACGTCCTAGCTTTAACACTGATACTTTTGCGACTTGTCATGATTGTTGTGACGGGTTCCTCCATCAGCCGGCCTGTCAACCTGGGCCTGACGCTGGTATCGTCCCCATTTTTGCAATTTTTGCAAGGCAGGTTTGTGTACACTTTTAACCACTCGGCTATCTCTGCCTCAGCCCTCAAGTGTCATATACCCTGCTTATGTACATCATCAGACACTCAGGATTACAAGAGAGCGGAAATCCAAAGAATGCAAGAAATTCGTTCCCCGGCGGCCGATCCACAAATCCCACCCTCCCGTGCCTCTGAAAATCCATCGCTCTATTCAGCACATCATCCGTCGACAAGGGAAGGCATGCTGTGGTAATCACTGAAGAAACTTCAATGCTATCTCTCTCCATGCACTGTGGGGTACTTTCTACTTAAATTTATTTTGCGCTCTTCTCGATGCGCATTAAACGAACACCTCACGAATCATGCGTGCTCAGAGTGACGGCAAGGACAGAGCCTGTTAAGCCGGTTAAAATCACCGTTCCTTGTCGAATTTTTGCTGTTCCTTTTTTGGCATTGCCAGAAACGCATAGCAAAAATGAAACCCATTTTTGTGGTTCTCCTATGGACCCCTACAACATGCAACAAACCATTTCTGAAAAGCGCGACATGACCTGTACTACTCCCTTGTCAGTTACAACTGAATTATTTGATGCCGATCTCAAA